GGGAAATAACAAGGGAAGAGAATAAAACCGCTCACCACCCGCCAACCGATACCCAGCCCGACTGGAGCAGTGATCTAGCCCTTCCAGGTAACTGCCCCCAGTTTATATAGTGGGCATGACATGCTGTGGTATGGAACACCTCTTTGGCCAGTTTGGGTCAGGTGTCCTGTCTCTGCTTCCTCCCTGCTTCCCCTCCTCCTTGGCAGAGCATGAGACTCACAAAGTCCTTGGTCAGAGTGAACATTACTGAGTAACAACTAAAAACATCAGTGTTATCAGCACTGTTCCCAGGCTGAAAGTCAAAAACACAGCACTGCACCAGCTACTAAGAAGGAGAAAAATGACTGCTACTGCTGAACCCAGTGTAGCCTGGGATTGCTCCGACCCAGGTGTAGGATCTTGCACTTGGCATGGTTAAGCCATGGTTAAGCCATCTGTATCAAGTAATGCTAAAGCTCTCTCAGTTGTCCTGAGACTGCTCTGACTATAAGGGTGCTTTGAGTTGTCTATTTTGTCACTCCTTTTCAACTAAAAGTTTTCCATTGGGCTGAACCCCCCCCCCCCCCCATGAATCTCTGAGCTAAAAAGAGTGATAACCATGATGACATTATTTAGAACTTATGAGGGGAGAAAAGCTCCAGAACTTGTCCTGTTCCATTCTTCCCTGTTCTACGTCTTTTTTCTATTAATTGTCTTATGTGATTTGCACAGAGAGCCTTTTGAGCCAAGAATGAGGCAGTGCTGTTAGCACCAAATTAGTCATGCTCATTTAACAAACTGTATATTGAAAAAGAAATTTTTATATCTTTGTATTGTAAATTTTGCACATTTCCTTTAAAAAGCAGCAGAAATTCAGTAGTGGTGTGGTGTTTCCTTTTTCTAAATAGCACTGTTAAAAATCATCTATCTTTACAACTGCTGAAAAACAAGAAAACAAAAAAATACTTGTTTATTATCTCACTTGTACATATTACAACATGTAGTAAGCATAATCAAGGCTTGTTGGTCTGACATGATCAGGTGGACTAGCAGAAGTTATCCAGCTAAGGCTTGAACATTTGTACACTAACTACAAAAACAGTGTCTGTATCAAGGTTTGAAAAGAACATATATGGACAGTTTTTCTTTTATTTCTACTTATGGCTGACAAAAAAAAACCACTTGGCTGGGATTGACAGAGGTAGTGGCACTGAGATGACATGAGGCTGCCAAGTGGGAAGCCAGTTCAGGACAAAAACCAAGGCAGCTTCAATTGACTTGATAGGAATGCACACTGTATCTTTAAGGGGAAAAAGTGTACTATTTCCCCAGTGTCTACAAATTAGTTCAGGGGTAGAAAGTGCTTTTAAGTTTCTCCGGATGTCAAACTTGTGACAATTTAAATGAAAACAGCAGAAAGTGTCATGTCCTTTTAAATTTACTCAAATTTGTTATCTTTGTCATACTTACACTCACCCTGCCTCTGATTTACTGAAGTTTAGCATCCTACACTGATGGCTCTTGGAGCTATGTATGAAAAGTCAGCTAAGTGTAGGCTTTTTTCTTTGTGCCATTCGGTTGTATTTTGCTTATTTAGACATCATTGTGTGTTAAAAAGGTTGAGTCCACCAACATCACTTGAAATGGCAGCATAAAACTAAACTACTGATGCTGTTAGGCTGCCACTGGCTTGTACTGCTGCCTTTCTACAACTTGGATCTTTCAGATGTGTGTATAAAGTTAACAAGTTGCAGCTCATCCTGGTTTTGGCTACCAGAAATCACAAGACATTGTAGCATATATTTTATTATAGATATTTAGTGATTATTTTAATTGTGTGACCTGTCTAAAAAAAAAACAACAACAACAAGGTTTCTTAACTGTTTCTTTCCATACTGTCCTTTACAGAAATCTGTTTACTGGCTGGCATTGTAAGTGGAATACTGATTTTTTGCAACTTCTATCCGTTACTAGTGCTCCTACTGCTCTCCTATCATTAGAAACTTCCTGCATAGAAGATGAAAACAGGATAAAAAGACAGAAAGGTACTTAGTTTATTCATTCTTTCTTCAGGCTGTATCATATGCCCTATGTTACAATGACTAATGTAATAAATTATATGGCATTGAGACTGAAACAAAGATACTTACAGGAATCGGAAACACAGCTCTACAAATAGTCTTCCATTACCTTTTAAACTACAAGTTCTGTAAAACTTCTTGAAGATTCTTAGGATTCAGCAGTCTCCTGTTAATGCGTCTTTGCTCAGAGTTGTGGTGGTTTTGGCTGGTTTATTTGCTGTATGATTACAAACCAAATTAGGAATAACCCCTTCAGCCTCTCTCCTGTGCATGTATGGAAACCTGCTGAACAACATCACTGTTTCTCTGATGACTTTAAACCACAGACAAATACATAGAACTCCATGTAACTACAAAGCAGGTTTTTTAAACAACTATGGCTAAGATGGCCCAAGAACCCTTTGCTATATGCAATGTTGCTCAATAGCATTTGATACCTTTAGTTTCCTGTTTGGTTTCTGCAAAGGGAAGAGGATACTACTGAATAACCATGCAAATATTTTCTGAAATTATGATGGGGCTTATTTTACTGAGCCTCAGAAATGTAAAGGTCAAAGAACAAAAGCGTCTCAGAAACAGCATATGAAATGTGTATAAAAATAATATATTTGAATTTGTTATATGCTGATCTCCCTCAGTTCTTTTTAAACTCATTGCCGTGGTCTTTTTAAAAGCACAAGGTTTTAGAACCATGACTCATTCAGATTGAAGTTAACTACTTGCAACTTTTGTGAGCAAGAATGAACAAAGGAGAGTAGAACATGCACAGTCTTATGCAATTTAGAAAGAACATTTCTACATTTTAGCTTGAAAAGCTGTGGTACAAAAATGTTACTGCTAGTGAAGCTTTCCAGTATGATAGCACTGAGACTGCAACATTTTCCCTTTATAGCAGTCTAATCACTGCCAGATAGGAAATTATTTTTGAAACAGGTATTTGCTGTCCTTTTCTTGTTGCTGTGCTTGCTACCAGGGAATAAGAGAGTGCAGGTCAAGCCAACTATTGTTCTTCTTTTGAGAATAAGGAATAGCTGCTTCTAGTAATGCTAATATTAGAAATGTCAACTATGGTAAGAAAAATGCATCAGTATTCTGCAGTTTGTGAATACATTTCAAATGAATTAACCTTGTTAAGAGGACATAATTTTTTGTTTGGTTTTGGGTTTGTTTTTTTTTTCAGAGCTGCATCAGTTTTCATATTAGTGTTTCTTTTGTTGTTATCTTTGGTATTCTGTTTAACTTTCCAGCACTGTAGAGTTTCAGTGGTCTGCTAGAAGTGTGCTGGAACCAAAGTTGGTACATACCCTGAAAGTCAATTGTGAAATGAAAACAAAAGCTTTTCTTCTCTACAATCCCATCGTGTGTGGCAGGTGGGCTGTGTATACGTGCACCTTTGGAGCTGGAGAGACACTGAATTAGGAGGATCAGGTGCTCCCACTGCTGGTTCTAGTTAGCACAAAGCAGAAAGAGGAAACCCAAGAAAAATCAGTGCTGACTACAGCTGCTGTTGAACTCTGAGTCCCTGTCTATGCTATCCCTGCTGCTGTGACTACAGCATTTGCCCCTGCAACCCTTGTCTCAGAACAGTTGCCTCTGGTAGTCTAGGGCAAACTTCCACAGTTGGCTCTCGCTCCCTGAGGTGTCACTCCTCTTGGACTTGTTATAACATTCACAAAATGTGGTTTTGGTTATTTTTTTTGTGCAACAGTATAAGCTCTGCGACAGAGTTTATGCTGCATGCTGTCACCCTGTGGAGTTTCCTTGCTCTTGAATGTCATTGAATCAAACGGTTTAGCTGTATGTTGTTTTGGGGCATGAATAATTTTGTTTAGATTATGAATCCATGTGTTTTTCAAGACTCAGTAAGCATAATGGGATGAGATGCTTTAGGGTATACATTTATCATTACCTGGAGGGGTAAGGAAGGATTATGTTCTTCTAATAGACAACATTAAAAATTTGAGGGCTGGAAGCTAAGGACACTCACTCCTGACTAAATATTCATTGATCATTGCAGAACAGAGGAAATCAGTGGTGGGAATGATACAGGCTGGAGCACTGACTTGTTCATACAGTTTCTGCTTATGTTCAGAATTCTAACTGTGTGGGGTTTTAATTTTCATTATTTCATTGCAATTTGTACCATTTCAATTAAAATGTTTAAAGAAAACTGCACATTGCAGGGATGACAGATGGAGAGGCAAATAAAGTCCTGCATGATTTCAAATTTAAGTGATTTATCCTGCTAAGGGCTGCATATTTAGTGCAGGTAACCACTTCAGTTAGATTGATACAGTTGTTGTTTCAGAGCTTGTCCAAATAGCCTTTTATGTTGCAATCAAGTAATAGATGCAAGATTGACAAGTTACAAAGAAAAGGAGCTTTCAGTCAACAAACAGACTAAAATCCATTATTGTGGTGTGTACACTGTGTCCTGGACCTGTAAACACATCTTCATTGATCCCATAAAAAGATAGAAATATCTCCCCTTGTATAGTTCAATCAAGGCCCTTTTCACAAAGGCAAAGTGCAAACAATATTGAAAAAGCTGAAAAAGACTGACATTACAGTCAAACAGTAAATAATGGCTGTGCTCAGGAAGCCTATCTATAACATTTCAAACTGCTGTCAGCTCAGATGAAATGTATAACCTCTCTATTACAACCTTAAGTAAGATCAAAACGCAGGTACTGTACATTCCCTTTACTGTCATACCCTTTTTACCAACTGACCAAATCAATACGAAAAAGAATCTCTATTTTTTTTTTTTCAGTTTTGCATGTTAGGGTGTTGCAGATCTGGAAAAAAATCACTGAAAGAAGACTTTTCTCCTTACACTTTTTTTTTATTTTATTCTTATCATTGTACTGTCTGGCAAAAAATGTTGAAGTATTTTTAGCTGCGTTTCATGTGGTTCAGGTAAGACACATAACACAGATGACCAGATAAGACATTGTTCTTTTTATTGTTTTACAACATATTTTATCATCTATATGAAACCCATATTTAAAATGATATGTATAGTCAGAATTTATTTATAAAATTTATTGAAGGCATATTCTATTACTTTGCATATTTAGGCCTAGAAACCACACACAATGAGTTCACAGCAAGTGCACCACCTTGGGAAATGACTAGCTTAACCAGCCCTTTCACTCCACATTCCAAAACCCCATTTAAATCCTTATTTGAAACCTTAAGTGGAATTGAAATCTAGCATAAGCTTTGGATTGTCTCAACAGTGGCAGCAAATTTTATGCATATTGCACCAGGTGGTGCTAATAACTGTAAGGTTCTGCCCAAGGATTAAGCATAGTCTATAAAAAGATTAATTTGCTATTTAAAGTTAATGCTGCTCATCTTGAACTGTCGTCTAGATGGTACGAAGCTGCTCCTCACTTTCTTGAGCACTGAAAAGGGGCCTTTATGTCATGAGTAATTACAGACTCTTGCTAAGGTCACTAGAAATCTGTCCTACAGGAAACTTGCGCAAATGCAAGGAATTATGGTATCTTTTAGAAATACTCTTTAATTAATTGGATTGGAGGGCAATAGCCATTGCTGGCTGACATCTTAGGAGGTATAGCATTGGGCTGTGATTACTCTGCTTTATTCATCTACTTCTGTAGAGGTACTGCAGGCACCTTTTCTCTGTAAGGTCAAGGTAAAAAATTTGATCAGTAGTGTTTGGTAAGAAAGAAAGTAATAACAGCATTTACTTGGACCAAGTAGTCTAAATCTACTGGACAAGTGCTACAGAACCACAGTTCCTGAGATTGAAAGGGACCTCTGGAGGTCATTTGGTCCAATCCTTGTTCAAGCTGGGCCATCTGAAGCTGGTTACCCAGGACCATGTTCAGACAGCTTTTGAATATCTTCAAGGTCGGTGATAACGTCCATAAGCCTCCCTGGGCAACCTGTGCCAGTGCTGTCACCCACAGAGTAAAAAGCTGTTTCCTGATGTTCAGAAGGATCCTTCTATGTTTCAGTTAGTGCCCACTCCCTCTGATCCTGCCACAGGGCACCACTCAGTTCTTATCTCTTGTCAGTTTCTTTTATCTCATTTGTGTTTCTACCTAGAAACAGTAAATATGGGAAATCTTACAAGACAAGTCACTTTATTATGAATTCCTTTTTGTTTCACAATTAAAGTGATTCAACTGTTGAAGGAAATTTCAGATTAACAACGGGTGAAATCCTGGCTACACTGACATTGAGGGCAATGAGACTGTTGCCACAGCTTCAGTAGGGCTGAAAAGCTTTGTATAGATCATTCCTGTTTATTATTTGCTCAACATCTGACTTCCTCACAGGAATGAGGATATTGCGACCCTAGGTTAAATTTTTAATATATTGAAATATTTAAAGTCCTTCCAAATCGTTATTTTGTATGCTTATTGTGGATAGAAGGTATAACAGATAACAGTATTTTCATTATAATTTGGAGAAAAAGTTTTAAAGGAAAATGATAGTGTATGTTACATACTGCAGCTGTTTAGCAGGGGAGAGTGTAAGAAAATAAGTTACCATGAGACACCCAGAAAGTCAGATGAATAGAGGGGTGGATGGTTAAATAACCATGTCAGGAATTGAGTGAAAATAAGGATGGATTCCTTACCAGCTACAGTATAATTACTGGATGTGGTTGTGTAGGCTATACTAAGTCAGAGCAGGCAGGATATAATGACAGTGGATTGGTTAAACTCTGGACTTTGCACTAGAAGTTGCTGTTTATTGTTTATTTATGGATAAGTCATAACAGCTAGCTCTCCTGTTCATTAGTAACTCCAGTTGTGAAATGTAGCCATTTTCAGCAGCACCTCTATACTGAAAGCAGCTCAGGCTGAAGTAAATTTCTATGAAGTATGGTTATTCCTGCAGTTGCTTGAACAGTAAAGCCCTGGCTATTAATTTATGGGATAAAAGGGATATTTAATAGATGATGGTAACTTTTACTAAAAAAATGATGTGGGAGAAATGAGGCTAGTAGGCAGAGGCTGATAGCTGCTAATATTAGAGCTTTACAATAGATTTTAAGAAAAGATGTGCAAGGTTAGAACAACTCACAATGGAGCAAACACTTGCCTGTTTGTTATGTGATATCTTTGTAAATGGAAGACCTAAATTAAAGCTTTCTTCTTATTTAAGTAATTAATTAATGTAGGTACAACAGTACAATGAATCTTTATTTTTTTTTACAGCTGGGTAGTTAAAGAACTATAACACTATAGAAAATGGCAGCCTAAATTCAATTGAGAGTTTGAACCAGTAACACCCACACCATAGGTCGGTATAATGTATACTGTCTTACTGGTATTTGGAATCCAGTGGTCTTTTCCTCCTTGTTTTTCTTTTTTGTTTTCCCTTTCTTTCTATGAAAATCCTTGCAAAATATTGGATTCTTCCTGTAGTGTACAAGTGGGGAGAACTGTTAAAATTGAAAGAAATATCTATCCAACTTTCCAACTACAGATCCAGTCAAGAAACGTGGGGGCTAGAACTGGTATGTAATTTTGAGTGTGCTCTGCTTGCTTGTTTTTTGCTTTACCCTTCCATAAAAACAAAAAAATGAGAGTAGACTTTTCAGCCTTAGTTGAACACTGGATTAATGTGTCTGAAATACCAGTACTGGAAGTCCTAACTGGATGCTCAAGATGAAAGAAGCTTTAGTTAGCAAGAACTGACTTGTAAAGTGTCAGATGTAAATTGTGTGCCCCAAAATATTTCATGGCAGATTTTGAAATCCAAAATTTGAAAAAATATCTGATTGTTTTGCAGTTGCATTGCTCATGGTAAGCCTGGTAGTGGAGGACATGCCAGCTTAAACAGAACAAAATTCCTGTTGAAGCTCAATATCTGTTCAGCAGAAATATCCTTTATGCTTTAAGCTGGTCTCATTAGAAGCTGCTAATTTTTCAGAATTTCTTTGAAATTAAATTCACTGTGTGCTGGAATGAATTTGGTTTTGTAGCATGAACTGTATTATAATATGGATTGACCGTTTTGAATTCCAAAGTGGAAAAGAGTGTTCTTTGCTCTTTGTTTCTCCTTTATTGTTAAATATATATACTGCATTTAAAACTTCTTACTCTCTATGTTTTCAATTTCCACTCTGTGTCTAGGACCCCCTACCTCTTCCTTTCTGGCCATTCCTCAGAGATAACTCTACAGGCAATCTTTCTTAAAAAGGAAGAAAAAGTATTTCTGTATCATTAGGATACAGGAATGTATATGGTGTTTGAAAAGGAGAGAAGGCTGTTGAATGATAGGTTCATAAATTTACTGCATAAAACAGTAAACATAATGGTATAAAAAAAACCCAACAAACATCTCACAAGAAGATGCTCTTCATTTTTGTTCTTTTTTATAAGTATTAAAAAAAAATCCAGATTATTGTCTGATCTTTTGAACTTTGTATTCCATCTATGAAAACTACATTAATTGGTAATGTGCTAGCACAACAGCAATTCCAATATTTCAAGTAAAAAGACAAAATTATATATATGTTGTAGGACAGCAGCGCATCAGAAAACAAAAGTGGTCACACTGGCTGTGTCCACATTAGTGTTGTGTTTGGGATAACAACTATGTGAATATTCCAGTAGTCCCCACTTAACGTACTTTGGCTCATATTTTGGCATGGTTTCTGAGTGTGCCAGCTGGACTCTTTTCAGATGAATGCTAAAAGAGTTGTGCTCCCAGTGCACTCAGATTACTAATGAGAAGTAAGTCAAAGGGAGCAAGCTAGAGACAGCTGATGTAAACTCAACTGGTACATGTTTAGTGTATATAGTGAGCCCTTGGCACAGACTCTTCTCCAAAGATCCAGTCTTACAGTCCACAACCTTTTCTCTGTCAGTAGCCAGTTGTAGAGGGGATGCTAAGAGAAAGGTGAATATAGCGGTGCTTCTGTAATGTGCTGTCCCAGTCAGCAGCAGTCAATGTCTTATTGTTTTTTTTAATCCTGATCCTGATAGTCTCATTCACAGTCAGCAAACCCAGTTTCTTGGTTCAAGTGCTTAATTTGGAAGAGTGTGGAAATGAGATGCCTAAGAAGTGCTGCAAGAGGTTTCAAATGAAATGTGCAACCAGAATGGACAAAAACCTTGAACAAGGACACTCAATTCAGCAGTGGCCGGGGCTAGTCTGAAAGTCACACTCCTCACACTAACTTTTCAAGGTACCTTTTTCAAGTGCTAAGAGTGGCACTTCCTTCATCTGAAACCCACATCCTCTCAGATCCTCAGATCACTGAACCCTGTCCTGTAGCTAGGTGCCCAGGCTTCCACTTTCAAAGAAGTAAACAGGGACTGTTTTTTCTTTAAAAAATGGCAAGAACAGAACAGATAGCACTTCTTAATGCAGTGGTTACAACATATACACAGGAGGGTGAATGTCTTGGTTCAGTTTCTTAACCTGAAACTGTTTAACCAACAACCAATGATTACTCAGGGAGGGAGGGTTACTCAGCAGGTTGGAGGAGATACTTTAGTTGTTATCAGTGGGATTTATTCCTGGAATCTGAAGAAATAAATGCACACACTAGTTGAACTGAATGAAGAACAACTTCAATATTTATCAGTCCTGCCCACCTGCCTAAGAAGATTGCCAAATAAGATGCTTAATAGTCTGCATGTGATATATGAATAGGAAAGGTAATTGAAGTTCTCAGATAAGCTATATGCCCATCTGTAATGAAGGTATTTGGGACTGTTATGGCAATATCTTTAGACTACATTGAAAGAGAATAAAAATTAAATTGATGAATGCCCAGATATATAATCATAAAACTTAGCTGATGCACTGGTTTTGGTTTTTTGTTTGTTTCCAGTTGGTTGGTTGGTTGGTTGTTGTTGTTGTTGGGGTTTTTTTCTTTGTTTCTGTCAACTGGTTGTTGACTTTATGATCAGGAAATATTAGATTTCTAACATAATATTATAATATGAAATATTAACAATTTGAGGATCTGTGGTTCCCCAGAATGCGTGCATAATATGCACCCCAAGACAACTGTTTAGTGCACAGTTGAAACACTGAGTGTGGTAGCACCCTTACCCTAGTCTCCCTCTATGGAAAATGGAGGTGGCAATCACCCCAAAGGGTAATTCCATTCATCTGAGATCAGAATTGCCTTTTGGCAGTGTCTATCAGTCTTCATTGACAGCATAGAGAGCCTCGGGACAAATGTGCATCTAAATCCACCTAACTTAGGTGCTTCAGTTAAACATTGAATGTTAAGTGGCATAAACCCGAGCACAGTGAATTGTGTAAATTCTCACCGATATTTAATTCAGTCCTGTCATAGACCAAGGTCATAATAATAATAAAAGTGAATTACAATCATTTTTCTATACATACCCATATCAAATAGCCTCAAGCTGTATTATGTATAATTATTTAACAGATACTAACCAACATAGCATATTTAACAGATACTAACCAACATACTAACCAACATAGACAAACGAGAAATGCAACATATGAATATTGTTGTTGGCATCATAGGACTTACATGCATATTTATTTATTAATTAAGGGAACAAAAAATACACACAAATTTTAAAATGAAGGGGCTTTTTACTCCTGTCCTTCCCACAAAAGATTTTTTTTAATCATATGATAGAAATAGCTTCTAACTCCCCTTCCTCTTTTCAGTTATGATTTTTAATCAACTAACAATAAACCTCCCTATAACTCAACTTTCATTCAGTTTTATTCAGTATTTTGTTCCTTATTGTGTGTGACATTAGCCAAGATAATGGATTTAGGATTTTAGCACTGGACCAGTGCTGGAAAATGCACAGTACAGCATGTTCAGCCTCTAGGAGACAGACACCAGTGTAAAATAATTGATAAACTATCTCCGCTGGGTGATCCTTGTTTGAGGTACTCTCACTACTGTCCTCTCACAGAGAGGGTGGATGACTGTGAAAGTACTTGAAAAATGGCTTGGATTTCCATGTGACACCCAAGAACAATATGACTTCCAATAGTCAGTAATGCAGTAAGAATTTTGTAGCTTGTATTCTGTAAAAAATATCAATCACTTGTGACTGAAAAATGAATCTGTAAAGTTAACCTAGTCTGTCAAGTTTGATTTATTCAGAGGTAAGCAACATTCCAAGAGGATTTAGTGAGCCTGTGTTTGGTAAAGGGGTATGTTCAGGTTGTGGCACTACATAGATTGAATGTCCAAACATTTAAAAACTCTTTTATCATTGGCCTGAATACAAAAACGACAGCCTTCATTTGGTGACCTTAGAATGTCCCTGTTATTTGTTATGGGCTTTCTGTATTTAGTTTAACCTTCCATCATGCTGGGGTTAAATAAATGACAAGTTGTTATTTTTCTGATTTTTAGATTAATATTGAGCCATTAAGCTATAAACATATTGAGCAAGATCTCAAGCCAGTGTAAATCAGTGTAGCTTCATTGTTTCCAGTGAAGCTTTGCTGAACTGTATCAGCTGAAGAGCTATCCTGTTAGTTGGAACAGTGCTGTATCTTGCTTTCATACACAGCTCCTGGCTGGAATGTTTGATCTGTAAATCACAATATTGTCACATATCTCTTATCCTAAGCTCTGCCTGCTCCTTCAAACACGTCTTTATTCTTACAGCTGTTCTCCCTTTTTCCTTTCCTTCACTTCTGAACACTTGGAAACCAAATAATACTCCTGATGTATACTGGTATTTGTGAGGAGCAGAATTTTGGAGTGGCAAATTTAACTGTGTTCTTATAAATGTGGACCACATTTAAAAAAAATAAGATCAAGGCCTGAGGTCAATTTCCCCACTATATTTACACTTGCAATTACCATAAGTATGCATGCAAATGGAGTGACTGAATGCAAAACCAGTGAAATAGGTGTCTGTCTAAAATAGATGGATGAAAATTACATGCAGAAATGTCAGGGAGCAATTGCAAACAGACCTTTACCCTCCTGTTCAGCTGAATTTAGCCTTTGAAGTATTTCTTTTCTTTTGCAGGCCACATTACTCCCTTAAGATAACTTGTTTTGAGGAAAGCAAGTGGACATGCAGATTCTGTATTCTTTCGTCGTTTATTTTTACTTGCAACAGGCATGTGGTTGCTGTTACTGTCAGGAGAAAAGTAGCAAAAAAATTTGCATACAGATATACTTTTTCAAACCTCTATCACAATGTATTTTTGTGTTCAGCATCTCCAAGCTTTTAGGTACTGTTTCCAACTAACCTGGTGCTGTCTCAGATCACTCATAGCCCATTACACTCTGATGTATAAAAGCATATGCCTGGTCTGCTATTCTGAAATTACAGCACTCATGGCTTTGGCCGTACGGTTCAGATAGACAGTTGTGAAAGTGGGGTGTTTCCCTCAGATGAATGGCATTAGTCTGCGGCTGTGATGCTATAAAAGCTGTTTAAAATGATTACAACTAAAAATGAAATTGCATTTGAAAGAATATATAAGGAAATGTATTGATCATTATATAAATTTCATATCTGAGTGCTTTAAGTCCTTAATACCAGCCTATAAAGAAACCAAGGTAAACTGATGGTATTTCGTTTTTTCTACGTTTTTACGATTATGTTACAGTATTCTTGATAAAGGGTACTTGTTTACACTAAATTAACTTTATCATATCAATAAGCTTGTCTTAATACATAAACCCATTTTTTCTCTCACAGAAGCATGTTACAAGTTTGTGGTTTATTGTATTCCCTCTTTTCCTTTTTAGCTTTATTACAATGAACAGCCGTAGCTCTTTTTTGGATACTGTCTATGTTGAATGTCCAATACAAATCTCTAAATCTAATGGAAATACTTATCACAACGTAAATATTTTTTAATGTAAAAGCCTTTCATAGTTAAAATACACTAGTACTGCTACTGTAAAAATAATAGTTACTTCAAGGAAACTGTTGATCATGGCTGTAGTACAGGTGTATGGCAGAAAAAAGTACTAGAGTTTTTTTTCTGTGATTTAAAGAGTGCATAAAATAGATGGTTCATGTCTGCATGCAAAAAAAAAAAAAGTTAAAAAATCACATTTACCAACTTTCTCACTTCTACCATTTTTTATTTGAGTGGATCTAGTCCTTCATCTGCTGAAGCCCTGTTCATTAGCGAATGAAATTCATTGTAGGCTTTACATCACCATCCAATGACATGACAGGGCTTAGTCTGTGGACCTGCTGGAAAGCCTCCGTTTTGATGGATGTTAATCACAACTAGAAGTAGTTGCCAGACATTTCTGTGCCACCTGCCTGGTTCCCTGTGCAACAGATAAACTTACTTCTCTGTTTTCCCAATTAATGTACTTATTTGTTTTTTATCCAGCTGAGTACTCCCACTCTTCAGCTGTCTACTCAGCACCATGGTGGTCAGCACTCGGTAGTGGCTACTATGCTCCTAACCTCTGCAGACCTCTAAAATAATACTTCAGCTCATGCAAAATGCTTTTTGAGGAGTTTTTGTGTACTGGAGTTGATCTTATATTAGTCTATGCATAGGGGTCCTTAAAATGCTTTTAGTCATGCAGCCTGATGCCAGATGCTTCTGACTACAAGTTGCCAGGTGTGGACAGAAGGTCCCATAGGGTAGCATGCTGTCTGCCTCTACAGCTGACCCTATTTCTTAAGAATATGTTTAGTTCACACATCAGTGCAGTGTCACATTATAGTTTTCATATTATTTGGGGAAGAAAGAACATTTGAAAAAGTTGCTAATTTTTCCCCCCAGAAAAAAAATTTTGTCCTATTGTGTGATGAAAAATATGCTTGCCATTAATATGACCTATTTCCCTCAGGTTTACCTGTTCAGAGTTTTCTTCATTGTTGTTTAAAAAATATCAGCTCTTAATGTGCTGTTTATGAAAACTCTAGGATTGGTTATAGACAGGCACTGCTGGGAGATAGTCCCTGAAAAGTATGAAGCTTGTGACCTGTGATACCATTGCTGTTTGTATCCTGGGCCTTTCATGTGGAAAAACCAGAACTAAGAAGAGACATCAAAACTCATTTTCAATGTGATCTAAGCAAGGATTTGTATTGTAATATTTCTTAAACAATGAATGGATACTATACTAATTTATTCTGCCACTAAGTCACTTTGCTCATTCACTCATGTAAAATTATGCACAGAAATTCAATTATGGTGACATTTCCTTCATCAGCCTCAGTGTAGGTGGCTGGGTTGAGCTGAGAGCCTGAACTATTCCACATACAACACATTCTCCACTATCGCATGTGGTGATAGGGCCTGCTGAAGTTATGTCCCTGGGAGCACTAAAGAAATGACCAGCCACTCACCTTGGAAACGCTTTCACACACCAAGGAAGCTCACATTAAGATATTTGTCTGTTGAAACCTCCAGTCCCATTCAGTCACTGTTTTCCAGCATGTAGCCAGTCTCTTGTTCTGAATATTCATTTCTTGCTCTTCAGTGTAGCTTTGCATTTAGTTATATTGATATTTTGCATGAAGGGACACAGGATGCTATGCCATCTTGACTGCTCACTGTGGCTTTCCTGATCTCCAATGTTATCTGCCAATGTTATCAGCCTTGATTTTTTGTTTACTGCCAGATGGCAGATGCAAATTTTAAATCGGGTGAAGCCCAATGCCAGTTTAACGCTGTAGAAACACGCTAATTCAGTGGTAATTCTTCACTGAAAACTGCCTGTGGGACCTGTCAGCTGGTCAATCCTTAGCACACTTAACTGCACACCTTACCCTGCCCTCAACCAAGTTTCCTGGACAAAGATTATTTGTATTACTATGTATATGTCAGGTGTCTAATATTTATTGTTCAGGTTTGTAATGATTGTGAAAACCTCTCAAGCCAGGTTTGTTTTTGAAAACAGGTGTACTTGTCTCAGTTTTTCTGTCTTTCTATCTGTGGCTTCTGCTAATCACTTCTGAAACCAGTTTCTGAATTTCATAGACAGTAGATACTGGACAACTAAAAAATATATTTGAGATCCCAAGTGAAGGAAATGCCTGCTCTGATCATTCAGACCTTAAAAGACACTAGAAAACCCATTTGAGAGAGATGTTCGCATAGTGGTCCCAGTGCAGCTGGGATCTGCACTTTCTTTGATAGCAGAGTCAACACTAGAGAAATCCATGGAAAAGTGAATTTCATTGGTTCAGATGATTAATAGATTACAGGGATTTTACACTATTCACAAATACAAAAATAAAGACATTCCATAAATTATTCCTTGGAATGACCCAGAGAGAGGGTGAAACAAATGCTGATATGGGATTGTAGGGTTCTGCAGAAAATCTTTTCAAATCAGTCTGGGAAACACAGACAGTTTGCTCACACTTGGCCCACACTTGAGAGACTTGACAGATTTTTTGGCAAAGTTACATGTGGATCCATAGACAAGGGGAGAATTTTATCTATAGCAAATATAGCCACATTCTGCTAATACAGTTTGTATTTTCTGTGATTGAGGTTGCAAGTACAATGCTTCTATAGTACAATATAAGCCTGAGAGCTATAAAGGCAAAAATACTAAGAAGAAACCACAAATTTCAAAATAGGCAGAAAAATTAGTTGCAAATAAACCAGATTAGTCAGACTAAAGGAAGAACTTCTGGGTTTATATATGGTGTTATATCTACCTGGTTCTTTTAATGGTGTCTTAAAGTTCTTAGGAGAGAATGCATTCAGTTATTTAGGTGTTTTGATTCTTTAGGTTACTATTTGATTCTACAAGAAGTGTTTAAAATAAATGTGAAATTGCAAAGCAGGTTGTTGCTTAATTTAGCTTGGATTATGTGTGGAGAGTACAAAGATCCACTGCAGGCTGGCATTGTTGCTGTTTCTTTGGCTTTCTAAATTCTCATCTGGTGACCGAACTTTCAATTATGCAGGGTTGATGCAGAGCAGACTTCTCATCAAGGCAAAAGGGCAAGTACCAAGAAGCCCCACAGAGCACTTCAACACATGACCTGTAACAGGAGACAGAAAGAAAGGGGAGCATAACTTTTGAAATACCTGCAGTAGCCTGTGTGAATATCTTGTTGTCTATAAAATTGCTTGGTTTAGCTCTTACTCTGTAGTCTTCCTATTCGCACTAGACATAAGCTATATACTGCAGAGCATTTTAAAACGACTTTTGAAAATTTTTCTAAAATTACCAAAGGTTGGTTGAGTACAAGACCAATCAGGGACACAGGACACCACAGTCCTGGAGTTTCATGTCATTGTAACTTTTCCAGAGATTTTCTTTTCTCTGGGGGAGGGGGAAGTGTGGGGGGGTTGGGTTGTTTGTCTTTTTGAATACATGTCCATAATTTTTGAAGACATTATTGTCAACATTAATTCTACATTTTTCAGCATTAGCTTACTTTTATGATAATGCATTTTATGATAATATGATAATAAACTAACACGTAATATCTAAATGGAATGAAGTTCCAGAAACTGAGATACTAAATCTTGTTACACCAAAGAGAAATGATTAAGAATTTTAATTTCACATAAAAGACAACCTAGAAATATTTAGTAGTGCTCAAATTCACTTCAGCTCCTCAGAACTAGCCACCCAGCTGGATTCCTTCTCCCATATTTTGGATTTTTTCTGACATTTGAACTGAAAATAAGGATTAAGAATTGATGAATAATCTTGGCTAAAGAGACTCAGCTGGCTAAAAGAGAAAGAAATCTCTGCTCCATTTTAGAGTAGAGTGCCATTTCTTAGCTTCTGACTGTATCTGTGAAATACTGTAGAGCCAGAAACAGAATTCAGAAATTCAGTATAAGAAATAACTACAAACCAAGATCCAGAGTCTAGTAATCTAAAATGCAGCTACTGTACTCTTTTAATGGTCTTATCGAGACAGTTTTTATGACAGCATAGATCTCTTAGTTTATAGTTAACTATATCACTTAACCTATGTGTGCATACACGAGTTAGGTGTTTTCAACCCAGTCTCTCATGGACAGTCATCTACATCAGAAAGCCACCACACATAATTCACTTAAACTGACAATCTTGCTTCAAAATAGTTTTGCTCAGACTTGATCTCTAGCAGCAAAGGAGCTGAACTGCTTTCACTTCACCCGCTTTGCTCCTTGTTTAAAGCATGGTGTGCTCTGACTGAAGTTGAGGTCAGAGACAGGGCAGAGCTGGAGTAAGTGCCGTTGCTCCAAGATTGCCCTTTCCCCCCTCTCAGATTTGACACTGGGTGTTCAATCTTCCACACTGACAGATCCTGACAATGCATAAACATTGTGCATATTAAGAAATGTAATTTTTCTGGTTATTATGTGTAACTATGAATTCTCATTCTATGCATTGCAGTTGTAAAGCAGGAGAATGGTGCACATTACACAGTGGTTGTGCTGCAGGTATTTTGTAGGTACTTTGTAGTTAATGGAGTCAATCAATAAACAAAATCCTCACCCTTCACTGCTCAGTCCATACTCTTATTATTCTTATGTAGGAATGCATAAATTGCAATAACCTGACAAACAGGGACACACCAGTATGTCATCTGCTCTACTAGATGGTTACTACTGGATATGCCAGGTCTTAATCTGTCTCCTTCACACTTTCTTCTTGTCCTGGGTTCAGCTGTAACAGTTATTTTTCTGCTTCTTAGTAGCTGGTGCAGTGCTGTGTTTTCAACTTTAGCCTGAGAAAAATGCTGGTAACACACCAGTGTTTTAGTTGTTGCTAAGTAATGCTTACCTCAGTCAATGACTTCAGTCTCATGATCTGCCAGTGACGAGGGGCACAGGACGCTGGGAGGAAGCAGGGACAGAACACCTGACCCAAACTAGCCAAAGGGGCATTCCATACCACAGCACGTCATGCCCAGTATACAAACTGGGGGGAATTATCTGGAAGGGCCCAATCACTGCTCAGGTCAGGCTGGGTATCGGTCGGCAGGTGGTAAGCAATTGTGCATTACTTATGTTTATTGGATTTTTCCCTTTCCCCTTTTAGTTTCATATTCTCTCCCCTTGTTATTTCCCTTACCATCTTTATTATTACTGATAGTAGTAGTAGTTTTGTATTATAACTGAGTTACTGGACTGTTCTTATCTCAGCTCATGGGGTTTACATTCTTTTGATTCTCCTCCCAATCCCGCCAAGATCTGTGGGGGGAAGAAGGAGAGGAGCGAGCAAGTGGATGCATGGTTCTGAATTATTGGCTGGGGTTTAACCACAACACTTCTTTGTCTCATATTCCACAGACTGTAAATAGGACTCCAGAGTCTTGGCCTGTTTCATCTACTTGATGCAGGATATGGTGCTTGTCAGGAGGGAGCAAAAGGCAAGTCTTTTACACAGGAACTGTGTTTCGTAGTCATGCCCTTGGCTGAAGCAGCATTAGGAGCCCCATGTGTAGTAGAGATTCTACAGTTGCATGAATGGATGCGTGCAATTCTCATTCTCACATCCCTCCCCCTACTTGTGACATGCAGTCTTCATGCTTTGGCATGTTAGAAAGTTAAAAAGCCTACTTCTGGGCAGTGGAAAACTACAGTTACACAACTTCCAAAATACCACTGTAGGGTAACTAGCCACGCTGAAGTGAGAGAAAGCCTCAGTCTTCAGGAGGAAATAGGACTGAACAAGGAATGCAAAGTGGTGGGTCAGCTGCAGAAGGACAGGTTGCAGAACCACAGTACAGCATGTAGGCTCCTGAGCACATCTAATAGAGCTCTGGTTAATATGACTCTGCTTGTTTGTCATGACACCTAAGGCAGTAATGAAACACGTGTGAAGGCCCCAACTTGCAGGCAGACCTGGAACTATAACAATAAATCACAGGGTGCTCACCCCACCATGCTGCTTTGGGGACCTCTTCCAAATGCTAACAAGGAAGCTATGCTGCAATTTTCCAGTGCTGCTTTGCGAAGTGACTAGAGGAAACTTGAAGTTGACAGTGGTTTTAGCTGAAAAAGTTTCAGTAGAGAGTTTTTGTGGGGAATATCAAGGGAAATACACAGAGGAAATCATATCCATTGCAGATAATCTACAAAGTATGAAATGCATAAAGCAAACACCATGTTTGCTGGGTACTGATTTTGACTCATTTTTTCTCTTTTGTGTTAATATAGCAGAAGAGAACATGGCCTTTAAAGGAATCTACTTTGGTTTAGCTTCTACTTCAATAGAAATTTCTTTTATATTCTTTGGGAACTATGTACATTATAACATTCAGAAAATAATGCTTGCAGCACTGAAGTAAATACTAAATTTCTCATTGGCTTCAATAAAGGCTCAGCTCCAGTTTTATTTGCTTATGGTATTTGTCAGGTTGTAGGCTTTGTTGGGTTTTTTTTGCAGATATGCATAATGGCTCAAAAGCATTATTCGATCAAAGCAAAACTGTTGTGCTGATCTGAGTGTAAAATAAATGTGAACTGACATGATCTCGACTTTTTCCATACACAGACCACAACACCAATCTGTAGAATATTTACAAAACATTTCTTGATCAGTATTGTGACAATTACAGAAAATGCATTGTAAATATAGTATAGACAGATGCAACCAGATGATAAATAGAATTTTGTTTACTTGAATAGTCCCTGAGCAAATTGTAGTCCATGAGAAAAAAATCCGTAATTTCAAGCCATTTTGCACAATTGGCAGCCCCAGGAGAGGAAAAGATTAAGGAACAGAAAGATTCCCTACCTTGAAAGTAGAGAAGACTCACTTGTTTTCCCTTTGCTTACCATCATTTGCTTGGAGCTGCAGACTGTATTATTCAATTATAGTATATCTCTGGTAAATTACCTTGAAATGTCTTGATGTTTCAAAGCACTATACAAACTGGGTTTTGTGTTGCACAAGACAGTTGCTTATTACTGTACTTACCAAGGTTCTGTGGAGCAGGACCCAATGTGAAGTACTTAGGAAAAAATTATAGACTTAACCCGACACTTCATCTCTTGAGTGTGTGGTGTAAGGCACATGATGCAATTGCATTCTGTATGGTCTTGTGAATGGGTGCCATGAGCTGAGGCGCTCTGATTTTCCGTAATAGGACTTTCTAAAAGGAATATTCTATAATTTTCTTTCAGCAGTGGTTTCTTCTCAAACAAATCTCTAATTTTAATCAAACCAGAGAACACATTTTTTAATACAAGAAACAAGTTCTTTCCTATCAGATGCAGTATATTCTCCAATACTTTCTGTTTCCAAGTCTATAGAAACAAATCTACCTATACCCTACCAGAAAAAGGAAAGGTATACTTGTATAATAGAAAATTATGCTTGAATTTTCCAGATTTTGTTGCTGTTGGAATGTATATATATTATCAATATTTTTATATTTCTTTTACAACAGGCTGAATATTGAATGTATGTGAAGATGTAACTAAAGTATAAAACTTTTGAAATTCTTAAATTTACTTGTAGTAGAGCCTCTTATCTGCAATTTTAAAAAATGGAAAAAAATTGCAAAATATTGATTAAGAAATACTTGATTTTCCTCCCTGGTCTAGTGGGAGGTGTCCCTTCCCATGGGAGGGATGTTGGAGCTAGATGGTCTTTAAGGTTCTTTGCACCCCTAAACATTCCATGATTCAATGAAAGCATTTCAGTCATCAAAAGGAGCTGCAGAAAAAAGAAAAAAAAAAGAAAAAAAAGAAATGTGTCTTGGCTGACCAGTCACACTGAAAAGTGCACTGAAAACAGTCGAAATTAATATATTGCAAATAATCTGTAACCATATAAATAAATTTAAACATATCTACAGATGAGAAAGCGGGTAGCAGAAAACATGATCTTCTTCAGGGCAAGTATAAAGGTCTCTGTTGCACGATTATACATGGTGAATAGTCTCATGTTTACAACCTTTAATGCTTATTGATGTAGACAATTTCATCAGGTAGCTATGTCACATAATGAGTGGCAATCCTGTGTTACCTTAGTATTTCTGTAGCCACAAGCAGATGTAGGCATCACTCTCACTATTAGTTGGGA